ACACTTTGCAAAATTTCTGAAAACAGGGCAGTTTGCTCGAGCGCAACTATGTTCGCTCGAGCGGTCTACAAAATGTACAAAAGTATTAGGAGTTCTCATTTTATGCTCGACCCATCTTTTGGTCGCTTGAGCCATGTACCTTGCAAAGGTGAGTTCGCTCGTGCGAAGCTTTGGTCGCTCGAGTGCAAAAGTATTGGGAGCATGCAAAGTACGCTCAAGTGAAAGAACCATCACTCAAGCGATCAAGCAGAATTCTAGAATTTCCAAATTGCTCTACAAGCTTCAAAACTCAATTCCAAAGTATCAAAACTCATTTTTTTTGGCCAAAACTTGAGAAAACACATAGAAACTCATATAACAACATGAGTTAAAGATCATTTTTTGTAAAATCAAGGTCCAAAGCACAACCATTTCTTCAAACTATGTCAAAACTTTATGTCCAATACATGCATGCAATGTTTTGAATTCAAACTTTTAAAAGCAAGAGTAAATGAGATGCTAAGTATAAAATCATGTTGGATACTCAAACTTATGCAAGTCTAGGCCCATGCATGCAAGAATTTGTGAAATTAGAACTCAAAAAAATCATGACTTATGAATGCAATGCATGAATTGATCTCAATTCCATCTTCTAAGCTCAATTCTTGTTCTTAATCTATACACTCTCTTGAATGCCTACCTTTGATGTTTCAAAGACAAGGCTAAGAGTTGAATTTTTTTACCTAAACTCCTCAATTCCTTGAATCTAGCTCAATTATACACAATTCCTAGCTTTTTCCTCTTAGTCCTTTAATCTCTTTGTTAATTAGTCAAGTTGAATCCCCTTCTCTCACTCTAGCTTGCTTCTCCTTCTCTCTAGAACACTCTAACTCAAGAATGATGAGTGTAAATGAATGCTAGAGCTCAAATTAGCCTTATATAGGCTTGATTAGCTTAGGCTAATTAATTGTGATTAGAGCTAAGTTAATTCAACTTAATAATTAATTTTTTCTAATTATTTGACTCCGAATTGAAATCCAATTAAACTTACCATAAAATTTTAAAAATCCAAATTAACACATTGACATAGTCAATTTCATGTTCAGATACCGATAAGGTCTTCAATTAACAGAACAAAGTAGAATTCTGAACAAATATACCTACAGCTAACAGATAAGTACGCAAAACACATACAAAATGCACAATTAACACATAATCTCATTCTTAAAACTTAATTAGCATTCTTAATCATGTATTATGAGCTAATTACGGATCAGGGTTGTTACAGACTCATAGCTTGGAAATTCAAGTGGGGTATAGCAAGATACTTTTAATGGGAATAACCTATATGAGTGTGAACTGGGCCGATTCTATGAGAATTGAAAAGGCTAAATTCTCTAAAGCATTCATGAATCTAGGAATTGTCCAGTGCCAAAATGGACACAACCAATGAAACCAATTTGTGTACAGAAATAAACATGCGTGATAGGTTATTGTCTTGGTTTACACCAACGGTAGAGCAGTTCAAGACATCATGTTTACTGATCAACTAGTAAATCCAATAGTCTTTCACAAGGGAAGGTTCAATACCAAAAGTTACCTATCATGTGCAGGATATTTCCAGATTTGTGCTCACATAGTCTGCATGTTTTTGCATTTCTCGTTTCGTCAATCTCATTTATGTGGGGGATTGTTGAAAAATTTATAACTGAATGGAATGGACTCCATTCGAATGGTAAAGTGCAACCCTTCATGGTGTCTCTTCGTTATAAAAAGTGTGACCCAAGGGTGGTGTCTTTTCATGTTGAAGGGTATGACCCAAGAGTCATATCCCTTCTTTGTGCCTTTTCTATTCAAACTGAACATGTGCCAACAAGCCTATATAAAAGCAGCTTCCATTCCAATTTTCTTCACTCCAAATTCCTTAAGTTCAAGCATTCTTCTTGTATTCTTCATTTGTGTGAGTATGAATTTTGCGAGTGCAAAACATATTTTTCGTTCGCTGTACAATAAAAAAGTGTGCTCTCTTCAATTGTCAATGTGTTACTTTCTATCTAATTTTGGACATAAATTAGTTTTGGAAATAAATTAGAAAAAAAATTAAAATGTGAAAGATCAAAGTAGAGAAAAAAAAAAAATTAAGAGCCATAGTAAGCAAAGTATAATTACCCAATTTCTACTATCTTATACTAGTAGTCATGCTACGTACAGATAGAATATTGTCTTTTTATTTTTTTGGGGTTATAAACACACATATTTTCATTAAAATTTTTTTTAATTAATTTATCATATCAATTTGAGTTATACATAAAAAAAATATATATATATTAATCTTAAATTAATACTAAAAGTTGATTGTTCAAGGAAAGTATCAAATGTTAACTGAAAATATTAAGATTTTACATTTTTATATTTTAAAAACATTATTTTTATGAGCCTTATTGAAGGGTTATATTAATTTAAGCCTAGTTTAACGAATAAGTCTATATGTATTGAGATAATTGCATAAAATGTGGTAATGTGCACATAACAATTACTTAAAATTAAAAAAATTACTTACAAAAAATATTTGAATTTTAAGTTTAAGTTTATATATGATTTATCATTAACAGTATAATATTGCGGAATAAAATTTTCATATTTAATCTTAAAAGAGAAATTTAACAAATACCTGCTAGGATTTTATTTTTTATTTTTTTAATTATACTATTGTTCATAGGTTAAATAGTTTATACTGTATTTTTGGAAAATTAGATAAAGATCCATAAAGAATTGGGTAAATTATGCTTTGTCTCCTTTATGTTTGGTTACTTTCTCACTTTGATTCTTAAAGTTTTTTTATTCTCACTTTGTCCTTTCATGTTTTAAGTTTTTCCTATTTTACTTTTAAAGCCAATTTATGTTTAAAGTTAGATCCAAAATGACACATTGACAGTTAGGTAACATGAAAATATTTTATTATATATAATTCATACCTCTGACATAAATTTAAATTCTAATATAATAATATATATATTTTTATGTAATGTGACAGGTATTTTCTTTCTAATTTTGAATATAAGTTAGATTTAGGAGTAAAGTAGAAAAAAATTGAAACATGAAGAGGTATATATAATTCATACCTCTGACATAAGCTTAATTTCTAATATAATAATGTCTATTTTTTTATGTTATGTGACAGGTATTTTCTTTTTAATTTTGAATATAAGTTAGTTTTGGGAGTAAAGTGGAAAAAAATTGAAACGTGAAGAGGCAAAGTAAGAAAAACCAAGCTTCAAGAGCTAAAGTGGAAAAATGACCAAACATAAAGGGGGTAAAGTGTAATTTATCTATAGAATTTGTAGTAGTTTAAGGATAACTCGGACTACTTTTAAAGCACGCTTGATATGATGGAATGGGCTGGAATGGAATAACCATCCTAGCTTTATGTTCCGGCAAGCATAAAATATTATAGCCAATTACAAATTGTCACATACTACAAAAGTCTACAAAATATAACACAATTATTTGCAAATCAAATCTTGCTATGTGTCTAATTAGTCTTAAATCAAGATTACATGGTAGTCAAATCACAAGTTGCCATGTGTCAAAATGATGCAATCTTCAAGATGACAAGCCTTGGGTTAATCAAATTAAACCACTCATCACATTTGAGTTGATCAAGACAATAAAATTATAGCACGTTATTAAAGTGATATTTTGATAGTTATCTCTAAATGAATTAGAAATAATTATCAAAGAAATTGAAATCTATTAAGACTCTCCTTCATTCATGCTTATAAATAATGTTGATCTCCAACATAACTTTACATAACAATTCTACATATAAAAATCATGTAGAGAGAAAAATTTACATCAAGTCATGAGAGAAAGTTTCATCTGATTCAAGCCTTTAAAGCTCCAAAGGTCTTTTTGCCAAAGTCTATCAAACTCCATAAAGCATAAAACTCGGAGGATAAAATCAACGTTCGCCATGAAATTCTATAAATTTAGTTTCTTCTTCTACTAAATTGATGAAGATACTACAAATCTGATTTGAGAATAAACTATAAAGCTCTCAGGTTAAAATTCTACAAATTCGTTATTTTCTTTGCGTTATATAGAGGAGATTTTGCCGTGTGATTCGAGAACAAAATGTCAAGCACTTGAATAAACTTTTTGAAGAGAAGAATCAAAAGATTAGTTTCTTTGATTAGAAAATTCATTTGAGATTGTACTCGTTTTATTCAAAATTAATAAATTTATATTTTGTCACTTTATTTTTCTGTCTTTATTTTTGCAGGCAAAAAATTTGTGTGTTCAAATTTTGGAAGACGTAGTCCCTTTGAGGTTGAGAAGGTTGTTGACTTGTTCGACGTCATGAGAGAAACACTCTTCTTTTCCTCAAAAATTTCGAAGAATATGTGTAGATTTCAAAGTTGACTTGTGAAGAGAAGAGATACGAGGCAGAGATTGTCCAACTGGACATGCTAAATTTGTACACAAATTTCTATCTGCAAAATAAAAACAGAAAAGTAGAGTAACAAAATATAAATTTATTGATTTAAAATAACTTGATTACAATCTCTGAGAAATTCTTGTACAAAAGAATGATCATCTGATTATTCTCTTCAAAAATTTGATTTGAGTGCTTGACCGTTTGTTCCCAAATCGAACGGAGAAATCTCCTCCAAATAACACGAAGAAGACAACAAATTTGTAGAACTTTGACTTGAGAGCTTTGACAGCTTTTACCCAAATCAAAGAGGGATTCAACTTCATTTGGCCATTCTGCTCACAAGCTTCAATTTACTTCACTTCCAAAATAGCTGAATGAATCAAAAGGTGACTTGATACAGATATTGTGAATGTTGTTGACCCTTGTACCTTTAGTCTAAATAGGATTTACTATGTATTCCCTATGATACATCAGCAAAGTAAAACAGAGAAATCAATATAAGCCAGTAATATCAATTAATTTACAACCAAAACCAGATGCAGTATATTCACATCCGTCAAGTAGAACTATCATACAAATGACATTCAAAAACATGCATTAACTTACCTAACTCACTGGCACAAAGGATTGTTTCAGAGTACGTTACATTATCACACTATATCCTCGTGTGCACTTACTCTAATGAAAGGAAAATAAAATTAGAAAGGCAGAAGCACCATTCATATCTGCCAAAATGGAACTATCATTTGAATATTATTCATTTTGCACTAGCTCACTGAAATATAGGATTCTTTTGGAATACATTATCGTTTCACTATATACAAAATCCCTTTTAGCCTCGTGCAAAAAAGAAAAGATTACAAACAATTTTGATTTGTGTAGAACATCAATTATGTTATTATAATAAGAAGCATATAAAATAAAATTTGAACTCAGTAATTCCTTCTATAGCTTTACCTGACCGATATGTTTGAATTTGTGACACACGGAGTTTGACAGAAATGTTCGTCCTTTTTTCTCAATCATGTGTCATATCATAATGTTAGATCCTTTGTTCCTATCCTCTTCAGTTATGTATAGGACAGTCACATGACACATGGAGAAAACACGACATTCCTATCAGAACCCCTATGCCACAATTCAAGCCACAACATATTGGTCAGGCAGACAGGCTTTGACAGTGCCTCAACGAGAGAACTTACCTTCATAAAGACTGAAACCGATCTGCCAATAACCTAAGGATGACAAAGGGCTGGCTGACGAAAATAGTCCACTGGAAATAAATCAGAAAAGATTCTACATTCAATGCTAAAATTCCAGCTTCATTTTTATTTTTATTTTTATTTTTAATATACTTGATGTTCTACCATCAAAATTGTATGTAACCTTTCTCTTTTTTAAATTTCTTATCGTCTTCTTCTTCTTTTTTTCCCCAAGAAGAGCATGTAAAGCTAAAGGGGATAACCTATATAGTGAAAAAACCACTTGCTAATGATCTCCTCCTTAGTGTGTGACAGAATGAAAAAGCTTCATTCCTTCTCAGCAATTACTACAAAAACATCCTCTAGTGACCACCTCCGCTTCTCATTTTTGCCTGGGGGATTGATAACAGCTTTCTCTGCATTAGCTAGACGGTACCCGATCACAATCTCTCTCCTCTGTCGTGCACGTAGGAGTACTTCATAAAAACTCAGTTCCTCACCATCCTGAAGGTAGAGATCTGCTCGCCTTATATGCATCTCATTGCCCTGGTAAAGTCAAAAAGATTTTATTGATGGCTTAGAGAAGAATATGAAAGAATAGTTGGAATCTGAAAGTGCAAGTTCAAGAACCATAATTATAATGAAAATATGGTATATTAACATATTTGGGGGTCAAATGAAAATGTTGAATGGTTTAGGCTCAGTACTAGTGAATTTCATCGCGATCCTAGTATTAACAGGTTGCCCGCCCTATGTCAGTGTGGCACATTAGATTTGCACAACCTCATCGCTGTCACGACCCACTCTCGGTATCCAAGGGTTAGGCATCGCGACCAGCCAGTAACCGTGGTTACCCAAGGCCGATTTTAGAACTAAATAGATTAACAAACACAAACAGAAGTAATTATTTAAATAGCGTACCAAAATATACATCGGAGCTTCTATTTAATTATAACAAAAAGGCCATTAAACCAAGATTTTCAAAATAAGAAAATAAACTTGTACAAATAGATTTGTAAATATTATAAAAATGCACTATGTGTCTACTCCATAGCCCCATTCCCATAACAAGCCATACACCTCCCTCTCTAATCGTCATCTCCTAAAATTGGTAAACAACTTATAAGCGCATATCGCAAAGTGAGGAGTATTATCGAGAGCATAAAGGTCATAAAATCACCATGAATAAACATTTAGGCCAAAACTAATCAGTCGATAATATTTCAGACAAAATAGATAAGTTACCTGTGTCCACTTTAGATTACATAAGATAACAGAAAAATGTTTTAGAAATCATGTATATACGGCACCATACGGAACATATAACCATATCCATGGGTAGTACATATCAGAGGGTCACACTAATGGTGACTGCTCGTCAGAGGGTCAATGGATCCATAACAAACAGAGGGTCAGCAAAGTGACAATCAAAGGGCCAATGATTATTAAAGTCTCTCAAAGGCATGGGATCTAATGATTATTCACTCTTCCACTCTCCACTTCTTCATTTCTTTCCTTTCCACGACACAACACATGCACAGAGCTCACACACACACACACACACACATATATATATCAAACTGACCCAACATGCTCATAAACATTTGGCTGCCAGATGTCTTGAAAATTGAAGGTGGCAAACTCCCGTTTCACAAATTACAATTTGACCCTAGAAGTAATAATAATTACACTACTAATTATACTTTTTTATAAAATCATATATTTTGAACCCAACTATAAAATTGAATATAAAATTATAAAATAAATTCTACATTTTTTTCCATTTATAATTAAATAATACTGATATGGAATTAAATAATAGTTACATTTTTCGGGTGACAGTTGCCCAAGCCAGAATTGCAACCCGAGATTTTTCACCCAAACACGACCTGAGTTGGGCCCAAATTGCCTAAGTTTCCCGAATTGCTATAAATTTGAGTGTTCTTTTTTTTTCCCAACTGGGTAGATTAATTTGTTAAAATTGTACTCTACTAACATTTGTTTTAGTAAAAGCATTAATAACATTAAAATAAAGAATTCATATGATGTGAGATATGAGAATTAAGGAACCAATGCACTGCTACAGTGGTCTTTGTAATTTCTGTGAGAAAAGAATATGATAGGATTGGTGTTCTATTACTTGTGTATAAGACATATAGTGAATATGATCTAACGATCCAAATTATTTTAACATTATCCAATAGCTAATAATTTATATTTACATCTAATATTTTTATATATTCATATATACAATTTGGGCTTCGGGTTCCTTAGATTGTTTGGTGTCTTTTCCCAAATCCATCCGAATTTAATTCAGGCTTCTAAATTTCTGTCCAAACCCACACTGAATTCAAAAATATGTTGCTCAAGCCCTAAAAAATTTCAAGTTGGGCTCAGATTGCTTAGGTTGAGCCTACCCAAGTTGCACCCCTACAATAAATATCTATAGATGTAATGGTAAAGAAGAGTAATATGATAACCATAAATACAGACGTTAGAGAGAGGGGAAGACCTAAGCCAATATGAGATGCAATAGTGGGGTAAAAACAAAAGGAATCTATTTAATTTAGCTGAGCATATAGCCCTTGATAAAGCATAATGGCGAAAAAAATTCATGTAGCCAACCTCACTTAATTTAGACACAAGGCTTAGTTTGGTTTGGTTATACAGGTTGGTTGTCTAGATCTATTCATTGCCTGTGGATTTATTTAGCTTACAGGATGTGTGAGGTAAAGATCCTAACCACTCATTAGATCTGTAGAGGAGTTTCAGATACCTCAAGCTCGAGGACGTAGTTATGAGATAAAAAGACCTACTTGTCATATAACTACTGTAGTGAAAGATATATCTTTAGATGATCCATAGGAAAGGTCATATAGTAGAGCTTGTTATTTTATGATATTCTGAATCAACTTGGATAAGATTAGTTACCCAAAAAAAAACTTGGATGAGATACAAGAATACTTTCCTTGGACACTCAAAGCCTATAACACTTCAAAGAGACATCATGTTGACCTTTACCAACTGGAAAAACCCTATTTGTATGCTTTGGTAACTCGTGTAGATAAAAGATTCAAATTTTCAGTTCACTATGCAAGTAAATAGTTCTGATATGAGTTATTAGGTAGGAAAATTCTTAAATATGAATGATTTTGGGTCCATCATTAACTTTTAGATAATGAAATGATATGGTGCTATTAAATCAACCACACTCATTAAGCAACAAAAATTACCTCTTCTGCAAACAGCTCTTCCAGTACGTCATTTATTTGGCGGTCTTCAGCAACCATGGCCAATGCCATGCTGACCAGTTCATTTGATAGAACATAATCACTTATCTTTGACATGGATAATAGATTTTTAGTCCGTGGGTCCAAAATCTCACTGATTATAACTGATTTATCTGAAGCCTGCTGCATTTCCCCTATCCAAGAGCCTTGTGAGATGCTAGCTCTGTGTCCTTGGAAAATCTTGGCTTCTCTGTATGGGAGACGCTTAGCCTGAAAAGTTTGAAGATGCATTTCAATTCTCAAAGGTTAGGCTAAAATTCGCAAAGGTAAGTCTTAAATTCTTATGCCATTGTTGTCATCTTCAAATGCAACTATGAAGATTAAGAAATTAATGAGGATGGATTTTTTTCACTCATCTGTTCTTTTCTACAAAGTTGCCAGGTAAAAATTCTCTGGCACAAAAACTGTGCAAAGGTAATAAAAAAGAACTATAAAGATGTCGTTCAGATTTTAATTAGACGAGATTAAAATGAGGACGCATATAAGCTACAATTTCGTTAGCAGAGACAATAGATTGGCGAGGGTGAAAATTAGGAATAATGTAATATTTAAATGTGCAATCTGCTACTTTGCAAAGCAGCTTTGGCTCCTGCAAGGGCAAGGTGTTTTTTTCAACAACACCAAGGCTGCATCAAACAGATTTACATGCAGCCTAAGCTGCTTTGCAATAGCCCAGCCAGATAATTTATAATCGATAAGAGTGAATTTAACTGATTCGGGAACTAGTACTATACACTCCTATCATTTACTTGATCACGGTGGTGATGGTTGTAGTGCTGCCAATGATAACAACAAAAGAGGCTATGGTTAGCCAGTTATCGTGTTGTGTGGTCACAGTGGTGGCAGCAGCAGCCTTGATAATAGTTGAATGTAAATATTTGTAGAAACTAGGGTTAGGATTAAGAAGAAAGAAAAGAAGAAAAGCGAATACGTAGAAATTAGGTTTTGGGTGCTTAAACTAACCCTCCACCTCAGCACTTATATTAAACTCAAGTGGTACAATATGACAATAATAACCCTCATTATAGAATTAAATAACACACGACTATTCTAACAATAATGATAGCAATGGAGAAGTGTATAAAATTCCGAAAACCTTTAGAAGAATTTTCAATAAAAAGCACCAACAAGGACAGGTGACGCACAACATACACAGTTTTATATTTATTATATGCCATATATATGAATATTTCATTCAAAAATAATAAAAAAATAATAATAATAACATAACCCTAATTTCTAAAGTTTATAGGAGGCAAGATAAATAGGCATGTTTTGTTATTTTATAGGTAAATCACAAATTATTTTGTTCAAACTTGTAATGTGTTTCACGTGTGTCTAAGTGATAGACAAGTGTGTCCCCAAGTCTCTCTATCTAAATAAAAATTTAGATAGATATGCTTCCAAATATAATATACGAATTAGAAATCAAACATGTAAGAAGTCATAAAGTGGTTCTTCACTGAAGCTTTCCATAAAAAATTTATGAAACCTGTTAGTATAGAAGAAATGAACAACTTAAAGGCATTTTACCACTAAGAACGTCGAAAGGACAATGGTCTAGAAATCTGCCTGAGCATTTTTTGCAGAATATGAAGGGGAGAAAAGGTAAAACTTGACTAATTTTGTTTTCCCTCAAAAATCCCCAAAAGGCTAATATCTTGAACTTGTGACTTTACACAACCTAAGACAAAGGGGATCCATTTTCAATAGCTTGTTCAGTCCCATCCACCATCTACGTATGAATTAGAGAAGAATACAAATAAAATACCAAAACAACATACCAAACTGCAATCAAGAACAATAACAACAAACCAAGAACCCAAGAGTTAATCAACCACACAAGAACTCCAAATTAGTGTGGAAAAACCTCCAATGAAGAGGGAAAAACCATAGGGAAAATTCAAATCAATTCACTATCACCAAAATAGTAAATCGTTTGGGAACATGCTATTTTAGTAACTTTTTGGTTTTTTACGATAAGATGTGCAGAAAAGTAGAGAGACTGATGTGACATCTTATAGTGACATTTTGGCTTTTTGGCTAAAATTAAAAGTTGCCAAACGAAAACACATGCCCATAACTTGAAGTGTTAGAATCTAGATAGAGTACAACAGTTACCTCTCAGGAAGAAATATCATGAACACTCACCACAAAAAAAACCTTTCAAATTAGTGGAGAAAAGCCCAAATCTGGCAAAGACGCTAGGCTCCAATTGGACTTACTACCAGGAGGTGGAATCTCACAAAAACGAAGCTTTTAAGCAAGCAATACAAGCCCCAATAGAACCCAAAACAGTGCCCTCCTCATGGCTCCCCATCTCTCTCTTCTCTCATGTTAGCCAACACAATGAACCCATAGAAAACCAAGGTGAGGATTGTGCCTACTTCCCACATATAGATATGTATATGTATGTATATATAGGAGAGAATGGTCCATGTGAGCTTTTATCAGGAAAAAAAAAAAAATACAAAAAAAAAAACTCCCCCAACCTACTGAATGGATTGATTCTCATATGCCACACAAACTTCATTGTGTTGGAAGGAATGCAGAGAGATGTTTCTAAACAGATGCAAGGAATGCAGGCGATTTATAAAAATGTTAGAAGAATAACAACCCTGAACAGGATTTCAGTACTTTAAAAATAAATTAAATATTTTAAAGTAGAAAATGGTGCCCTACATAGCCCCATAATGAGGCATTGATGTTGAAAAAAACAAAGTGAAAATCGACCAAATAAGAAAAGAAAAATAATAAAGGAGAAACTACATTTTAGAGGGAACTGTTAGATTGTGTTAGAAATATTTCCTATTTAATTCTTATGTATATTTGGTATCTTTAATTATACCTTTAGGTGCTCCTGTAATTATGCAAATGATTTAATATAAAAAGGGATGAGAGACCACACATACCAACTTTTCTCTTCTCAAAATAAACATGGTATTAGAGCCACTCTAAAACCCTAGAAATCACAGCACCACCACACCAGCCACAGCCCCTTGGGGTTCCGACACCAGTCACACCACCACAGCACCAAGTCGCACCACCACAGCACTAGTTGCAGCCACCTAGGGTTCCGACTCCACCAGTCGTAGTCGGCTAGGCTGTTGGCAATCCTAGCCGTAGCCTCCTAGGGCTTCAACAGCACCCTAGGACTCATCGGAGCCCCCTTTTCCCAGCCCAGGTCTATCGACAGGTTTGGAGGGCCAGTCGAGGGTGTATTTCCTCCCTTCTCAGGCTGCCGATAGCCTTTAAGGAGCCTTGGTTCAGTCGGGTCTCTCTCCCATGGGTCTGGGTTACTATGAAATCCTTAATCTATGACCATTGGTACTTAGTCTCTCTCTTTATGTAATTGTTTTTTTTTTCTTTTTTTTTTCTTCTGTATCTCTGTTTCTGTCTTCTTCTCAAAAAAAAAATGTACTCTTAAATTCTTTTTGTTTTGGTTGTTGTGTTACTCTTCCGGGTTTGTGATCAGACCAGTGTTTGTTTGTATGGCAGAATTGACTAGTGAGTCTACTACTTCGCAGCCTGCTCCTCAAGGCGCGAGTCCTGTTTTTCCTCCTACTATGACTGATTCTCTCTACTCTGGCCAGAAAATCACCACATCTCTCTTTAATTATCTAGCGTGGTTGTAGAGTTTGACTATTTTTTTAAAGAGCAAAGAGAAGATGAGATATGTTGATGGGTGTGTTCAGCCCTCCAGTACCACAGATCCAGGTTATGATCAGTAGAAGATTACCAATTCTCTTATCATGGGCTGGTTGATACATTCCATGGTTTCGGAGATTGATGAGGGATACTTGTCTATGGACACAACACAGGATATTTGGGAGACTGTGGCCACTACGTATTCTCGCAAAGGCAATTTTTCAAAGACTTCTGAGTTGCGACACTCCATTGACCGGTCCGTCCATCCTCCAATATTTTACTTTTCTTAGCAATGGGTGGAAGGGACTTGATCATCTTCAGGACTACAAGCTTGTTTGTCTCACTGATTTTGCTGGTTACCGAAAATTTGTTGAACAAGTGCGGGTCTTTAAGCTTTTAGAAGGTTTGAATGTGGAGTTTGATCCTGTTCGGAATCATGTGCTTAGTATGGATGTGCTTCCTTCTTCCCAAGAAGCATTTGCTTATGTGCAGAATGAGGATAGTTGTCGTTCTGCTATGCTTCCATCTGCCTCTTCTGATAGATCTGCCCTGGTTTCTGCACCCTCTAGAGATGGGGATTGTGGTTCCCATCCTCTTTTTTAGAAGGATACCCTCTTTTGTGACTATTGTCGTCGCCCTCGCCCTCGCCCCTGCCACACCCGTGAGACTTGTTGGAAGTTGCACGGGCCACCATCTGGGGGTCGTGGAGATTATTCTGGTTTTCGCGGGGGTCGCTCTAGTCAGTCTAGAGGCTGAGGGCCCAATGCCCAAGCCCATCATTCTGATATAGTTGAGCCACAGTCCCCAGCTCCGGTTGTTTCTTCTGCTGATATCTCTGATTTTTCTACTTTTGAGTTGGAGGTTGCTCTTCGCCACTTGCTAGACCGTCAGGCATCTAGTTCATCTTCAAGTAACTTTGCCCATCCAGGTAACTTAGCTTCTTCTACAATTGCTTTCCTATCTCATCAAACATTGCCTTGGATTATCGATTCTGGTACTTCAGACCATATGTCTGGATCTTCTGATTTGTTCTCAGCATATATCCCTTCTTCAGGACAGGATAAAGTTCAAATTACTGATGGTACCATTTCTTCTGTGTCTGGGAAAGGTTTAATTCATGCCACTGCTTCCCTTCCTTTATCTTCTGTCCTACATGTTTTCAATTTTAATGTTAATCTTTTATCTTTGAGTCGTCTTACTCGGGACTTAAATTGTAGTGTGACCTTTTTTTCCTGATCATTGTCTATTTCAGAACATTATCACGAGGAAGATGATTGGCAGTGGTAGACACGAGAATGGTCTCTATATCCTGGATCAAGCAGACAAGCTAGCTCATTCATCCATTCAGTTACCCTCTACCAAAGAAGACGTATGGTTGTGGCACCGCCGTCTTGGGTATCCATCTTTTTTGTTACTCAAGCACCTTTTTCCTTCAGTTTTTTTGAAAAATAATGTTTCTGAGTTTCACCGTGAGTCATGTCAACTTGGAAAACAACATAGAGCTTCTTTTGCTCCTATTAATTAAAGTTTAGTTCCTTTTTCATTTTCATTCTGATGTATGG